CCCCAAAACCCCAAAACCCCAAAACCCCAAAACCCCTTTTTATTTAGTAATAATTGAAATCACTTACATAATAATTTTACCAATGTTTGTCTTCAAAAATAGAAAATCACTTAGAAAGCTTGGATATCAGTTTGACGATTCACAGAACAAAGTCGAGCGGGCTTACCCTCTTGTGCAAGGTGGTGCTGGACATAATATTAACAGAGAAGCATGCAGTCTCAAGAGGCCACAATGCAGAGAAGACCTTTGCAACAAACAAAACCCATTCCTAAAGTAAAGCCTGTGTTAATCTGGTTGGAAATTTTAACTTGCAAAAGAGTTTTAAGATGCTGGATAGACCAGACACCTCAAAAGTTTTCAGCTCTGGCGTTCCTCAGAAGCTCAAACAAAGATTTGTGAGGAGGAACAGTAGGAAAATAGTCAAATGCAAGATTCTGTCCATTTCATGCACACTCAACAGGACTAACTTATGGTATTAACATAGACAACTCAATTTGCAGACAAGAGAGCTCAAAGGCCGACCAACGAATCAATGCAGCCAAAAACAGGAGTCCTCACACAAAGGCACAGGTATTACTAATATCCTTAGGACGGAACATGTTTTGGCAACATTAAGAAGCTCTTAGAAGCTAGGAGTTCTACTGCTTCGAGTATCCTAGCAGTTGTGAGTAACAAGAGCAACTCTACTCCAATAAACAAGCACTCGGAGCGGCTTCAGAAGTTTGAAGTGGCTATTAAAAACAGAGAGACACTTAAAGCCAGATCTGAACTGTGAAGGAGAATTCTAGTTTCACCAGGACTCCTCACCACAACGATTATCTGCTCAGAAGCAGTAAATCTGGTTTAAACTTTTTAGGTCTGAAAAATGCCAAAGTTAGGTCTCTGAGCACATTTTGAAAAAACAGGTTGTTAATGCAACAAACCCAGATGCGAGTCCAGGCCAAATTGAATCTAGGATAAGGATCTTACAGTTTCAAGGAAAATTTTAGTCAAGCTTCTTTTATAATATTTCAATAAGTTCATAAATTTAAGGGGTTTTGGGGTTTTGGGGTTTTGGGGTTTTGGGG